TTTTTTTTTTTTTTTTTTTTTTTTTTTTTTTTTTTTTTTGGATGGTCTCATTCAAGATTGCTACGGCGGACTTGCGACATTCGTGAGTCCATATTGAGGCAGGCGGTCGTCGCAGCGGATGCAAAAGGCAAACGAGGAGTGCGCGCGACGCGCGACGATCGAGGACGAAAGCGAGCAGACAGCATGAAGGGAAGATGAGTGAAGCGGCGAGGAGAAATTACGAATCAGGGAGCCGTCTCGGTCCGTGGTCAGGGTCACCCCTTACGGCCGTCACGCAATGGCCGGTACCGATGACGTGATGCAAGTCATTGGCGCTGCACCGTCACTCGATCTGACTTCATCGCCCAGCTGATGTTCTAGCGTGCGTAGACCCGTGGTACAGATGCGCCATGGACCAGATGCTGACAAAATTGTTCTAGAGCTTCTTGCAAGATGGACGCCGCCCGTCCACGACGCGTCCTGTGCGAACTGAGAACTCAAACGTTTGTCTTTGTACAGTCTTGAGGATGCTGTTCTGTCTGCTGTACCAGGACATGTGAAGCGTGCGCAGATCTAGTGATCTGCGAATGCCGATTACAACAGGTATGACTCAAAGCTGACGTGGAACATGATGACCGCACAGACTGTTCCTCGAATGGTTTGGTCAGCTTCCTGTACCGGCGGGCGTACTATTCTCACGTGACTACTTGATCACTTCCATACCCGTGCTGCGTGGACTCCATCTGGACCGAGTCAGTCCGGATCACTGCAATCAAGCTACTCGTGACTGATGATGACGAAGAGCAGAGCAGAGCAACGGCTTGCAGCGACGCGACGCGACGCGACGCGACGCACCGTCCTTTCTCCCCCCGCACGGCGCAGCTTCCGTCAGCACAACTGCACCTCGTTTTTTTACGTTCCCCCTTTTTTCAGACGATGACTGATGAATGCGCGCCAGTAAGCAGCGCTACTCGTGACTTGTACTCACACCACACGCTCAAGCGTACCTCGTCCCTGTCCCTGTCCCTGCGCCGCTCGACCGACCAAAATACTCAAAGCGGCGTTGCAGCTTGCAAGCCCAGCAATCGCTCGCAAAACTTCCATCATCGCCAGCCAGTCAGCTCGCGTCCAACGCTTGCGCGCGCGCGCCCTCCCGAGACTTTTACCTCGCTTTTGCTCGCTGCACAGACGATGCAATCGAAATGGGGGAAAGGGTGAGGCTTCGTCGATCCTCAATTCGTTTGCCTGCCATCCGCACGTTTGGAGAAGCGTCGTCGCGCGTGCATAAGTAGGGATGCGTCGTCGTCACATTCAAAAGCAAGGCTACCCGGATTCCCTCGAGGCGTTCGGGAGCGTACATTGGTGCTGCCGGATCGTCAGCTCGGTCAGTCTAGCGACAGGCGAGCAGAAGCGCGTCGACCGCTCTCAGCGATGCCGGGCGCATGCGGGTCCCTGCGTTGCTAACGCTTCACGAGTGGTGTAGCCCACATTCAAAGGATGATACACCTGATCTTACCTCGCATTTCCACTCCGTTCAAGCGAGACACCACCCATTGCGCAGCACGAACAGCGAGCAAGAGAATTCTATTTGATTGTTGAAAGGTTGTTGGGCAGCGAGTCGTCCCTCAGAATTTGTAGACTAAAGACGTGAAAATGTCAGCTGCCAATCCAAAGCGTCATGTCTGCGCTGGCGCATTCTCACCTTGGTCAGCTTGGTAGCCTGCGTCTGCCAAGAGTCCCTTGAGATCGCCTTGGCTTCCCTTGGGACCCTTGCCACCCGAAATAGCTTCGTACATGGGTGGCGGGCCGCATACGAGAACCTTGACCTTGTCCGCCTTGCCGGGAAGCTTCGTTGGGGAGGGGTGAGATATCAGCCAAGCGTCACCGACTTGACTCATCTTTATACTCACGGGCAAGTTTTGCGAGATGATCTCGTGGGTAATGTAGCCCTCGAAGGTGCTCGCAGGCACGCTTCCGCTCTTCTTGTCCAGACCGTAGATGACTTTGAAGCGAGGATCGCTCTTGGACAGTCTGTCAAATTCTTCCCGAAGCAAAATGTCCTTTTCCGACTTGTTGGTGTAGATCAACGTCACGTTGGTCTTGTCGTTCTTGTCCGACGCAATTTGCTGAATGACTTGCCACATTGGAGTGATGCCGGTACCACCTGCAATCATTCCAATGTGCTCAAACTCATTGGCCTTGTACTGAGGGTGCGGTGTGAGCGAGGATTTGTCACCCGTGGGAACCCTATCGCGCTCGCACTTGCACTCGCACTTGTCGCACTCACGGGAAGTTTGGGAAGGGGACCCTTGATGGCCACCTTGTCACCAGGCTTGAGGCCGTGAATGTGATTTGTCATGGCTCCATTCGGCTGCGAGGCAGGGAAAAGCGCCAGATCAGCATACGGAGGTCGACTGGGAGAGCAAGCGCACGCGCCACGCTCACATATCTCTTGATCAAAAAGTCAATGTGGCCAGGAGTGGCGGGAGAAGAGACGGGAGTGTAAGGACGCATGACTGGCTTGCCATCCTTGTCCTTTGCATCGTCGCCAGCGCCCTTGATGAGGACAGCAGATGCGACACCCATTCCAGGTTTGGCGTTGTCGGGCAGCTCGAAAATGTAGAATGCGCTATCGTGATTGTACGGCTTGACCTCCTTGAGCGTAAACTCTCTGAACTCGTCCTTGGACAGGGCGCCCAATCCCAGCGCACCCTCGGCTTCCGAAGCGACCTTTTTGACGTTTCCAGAGTCGAATCCGCCCAGACCGTACCATGCTCCCAAACCTCCAAGACCTCCTAGGGCGAGCAAGAGCGGCAAGTTAGATGATGATCCAGAAGAGGGAGCGGATGCGTAGCCTCTGCGCGCTGAATGAGCAAACGAGGTGCGAGCGACTTGAGCGAAGGGCTGTGCAGAGGAGACTGCGGGAACAGTGGAGCTCCTAGAGACTCCGCGAATGGACGAGCGTGCAACGGAAGAGGCAAACATGTTGGATAAGTTTGTTGGTGGGGATGATGGTGGGAATGGTGGTCAAGAGGATGGGAGGTGCAGCGCAATCTGGTGCGATGGCTGGGCATCACGACCTCTACCATCACCGTGTACGCCGTGGGTACACGCGTGCATACATTGTGATTCTTGATTGACATTCGCATTCAATGATTCAATGATTCACATTCACGATTACGAATCACTGAATCACAATCACGAATTCGTGTTTCTGAAGGATCACAGCAGCGCAGCAGCAGCAGCAAGCATGCTGACGTCGCCGGCCGCGCTTCCCGATCTCTTTGGTTCCGCACAAAATGCGCCTCCACTCGGGCTATTATTCCTCGATTGTGACCAAGCATGCGCATGCAGCAGCATGCAGTCGAGTCCGTGCGGCAAGGCAGCCCCAACGCAAACCACGTGGCAGCGAGCGCGCGAATGGCGTGGCGCGCTGGAAGACGCCCGTGCCAGTTCCTCGACCCGACCCCTCGACGCCTTGATTGCGCTGATCCTTTGATCCTACTGACTAAAACCCTCGCGTGTGCTTGCCTGCCTGCCTGTGACCGCGCTGTGCTGTCCTGGCTGCTGCTTGGCACCCGGCCGGCCGGCCCATGCACACGCGAACACACGAACACACGAAGCTCATCGCCTCGCTTACGAAACGCAATGTCCAGTCAGCGCTGCCCCGCGCTTGTTCCTTGGCATTCACCATCGACAACCGCGAGCGACACCCCTCGCCGCGCGAGCGAGCGCAAGCAAGCAAATCTTGGAAGCTGCATGATGGTTCGTTCGTTCGTGAGTGAAGCAGTCAGTCAGTCGAAAGGCTGCCCAGCGTGCATGCATGCACGCATGCACGCATCGCCCGGCATCGACGACTCGTGAGTCGTGACTTTTGCGCTCAACGGCCATCGAATCGCCGCTCATCGCGCTGCATCACGTAGGCGAAATGCATGCATCCATCGCTGGGCGGGGGAAGAGGGCGGGCGTGCGTGCATGAGAGGAGTAGGAGTAGGAGCAGGAGCAGGAGCAGGCGCTTTCGGCAGGGCTGTGCATTCGCGCTTGCGTGTGTGCGGAGGGGATGTTGCTTTGCCGGGAGCATCGTGAGCGTCTGTTGTCTCCATTTAGAAGTTTCATCGCTGGGACACTCGTGACGGGGCAAGCAGGCAGAGCAGGCATCGCCTCACCTCCTACCTACACCGCCCTCGCCCTCGCCCTCGCCCTCGCCCTCGCCCTCTCCACCACCATACCTTCTTACCGACGCTCGACGCTGTCCATTCATCATGTTGTCATCCGCCAAAATAACCGCCACGCTGCTGGTCAGCGTGGTCATTCTCAGTCAAATCATCTTTGCATTTCCGAGTCCCTCTGGCAAAGACGCCACCGCAGCAGCTCTCCTCGCTCCTTACCGCGGCAAGATGCCCTTTCACCGAAGGGCTACCAATTGCAACGGGGATTCGTCTCTCTGCGAACGTAGCTATGGCAACGTCACCTTTGTTGGCGCGCACAACAGCTACGGCATTCACGCCGGCTCCACCAACGTCGCTGCCAATCAAAATATCAGCATCACCGATCAACTCGACGCAGGCGTGAGGTTGCTCCAGAGTCAAGCTCACAAGAGTTCCAACGTCTCGGTGCAAGGTGCTGGCATCGACCTGTGCCATTCGGACTGCAGTCTCTTTCAAGGGGGCACGTTGGAATACTGGCTATCTCAGATTGTGGCGTGGAGCAATGCGAACCCCAACAACGTGGTCACGCTGCTCATTGTCAATTCGGACAATCTTCCAGCTAGTCAGTTCGCTCAAGCTTTCGAATCTACCGGCGCAGCTGCAAAGTCCTACAACCCCTCTTCCGCCGGCGTGGGGAGCAACGGGGTAGTGTCTCGCTCCCAGTGGCCTTCGTTGGGCACGATGATAGATGCGCGCACACCCCTCGTCTCTTTTCTCTCCACCCAAGCCGACGACAACAATCCCGGCTATCTGCTGCCCGAGTTCTCCAACGTGTGGGAGACGCCCTTCGATCAGACTTCCGTCCCATTCAACTGTTCGGTGGATCGCATAGCGCAAGGTTCAGACTCTTCCAACCTCTTGGCCCTCTCCAACAATTTCCGCAGCACGCGATTGTTCGGCGACGTCACCTATCCCGACACTGGCAATCTAGGCAGCACCAACTCCGAGCAGACGCAACTGGACAGCGCTTACGCGTGCGCAGCACAGCACGGAAATCTCAATCCCAACTTTATCCTCACCGATTACAGCCAGACGGGAGATTACGGTGCGCTCAGAGCGGCCGCGCAGCTCAATGGCGTCAGCTACACTCCTCCAAGGTCCTCGAGCGGGAGCAGCGCTTCGGGCAACGGCAGCAGTAGCGGCAATGCGGCTTCGTGCCTCTCGCACAGCAGCTTGCTCGCGCTGTTCGCATTAGCTGTCGGTGGGATGGCTCTTTTCGCATAAACGCTCGTGATTGTCTGTTGTACATTTTTTTCGAAGGAAGAGCAACCGCCGCATGTGTGCTCGTGACTAATGTAGAGGAATGCAACGCACTCATCAGAAGTGTCCCCCAACACCCAGTCTTACTCCCCATCACTCGCTCTTGCCCAATGGACATTTTTACCTGCCGTCGTGCATGTCGCACTTCATTGTTGCTCGTCTCGGCACGCATGTACACCTCGTGCGCAATCGTCGGACACATTGCGCACATTTTGACGGTGCGTGTGTCTGGCGCCGTCCCGGAAGCAACAGCAGCGCGCCTGTAATGGGATTACTAATTGCATTTGGTGGTAGCAGGCGGGAAGGAGAGGGAAATGGGCCCAGCCCATGCACTTCCGCAAGAACAAGGGACGAGTCGAGGGGCTGCAAAGCAAAAGGAGTGTGCTTGGTGCCGTTGCGGAGAACGACGCGCGGTACGAAAGTTTTGGAATCGATATCTTGCGATAAACTCGACGGCGAAGACGGCAGGGTTCGTGCGTGCGCACGCGCGAGATGGTATGGAACTGGTGCTGATCGCTGTACGATGACGTGGCGACACTTGCGTGCGAGCTCCTTACCGAGGCGAGGTAAAAGTACACTAAGATGGTGGCGACGGAACAAAAAGTAGTGTAGGGACTGTGGACGCATTTCGAATCAGATGATCAAGCTCGCACCGACAATAGTAGCCGCCACGAAGAAAGGCATGCCAAATGAAGCCAACGCGGAAGCCGACGAGCTCGCTCCGTCTTCCGTGTCGATCGTTGTTCCGCCACTGCTGCTGCTGCTGCTCGTCGACGATCCCTTTGTGCCGCTCTTTGATGCGGCGGTCGTGCTGTTTGAGCTCGCGGATGGCTTGGCGACGTAAGCCGTGCCAGGTGCTCCCTTTGGCGCATCGGGTCCTGCAGAAGCAATGGTGCTGGAGTTTAGAACCCACTGAAGACCACCGAGAATGTGGTTCAGCATATCGTCGTCCCTCCAAGAAGCGGGCGTGTGTCCCAAAGCGGTGTAGAAGGACCTTCCATCACCGCCCTTGCCCTGCTGGCTCTTTTTGGTGTGCGGTTTGTTGTCGACGCCTCCACCGACCGATTTCTTGGGTGCATCGAGCAGGTTGCCCTCCTTGAACCATGCGATGGGGTGAGGTGATCCCTGAACATCGTTGAGCTCCTTCATCGTCATGTCATTGGAAATGTAGGAACCGTGATCGACGGTGAGAACGACGGTGTGATCCAACTTGCGAGGATCGCTACTGAAGTGATACACCTCGCCGTACACGTTCCAACTGGATGGAATATTGTTGACTGCCGGATGATCCTCTTCACCATCGACGACCATGTACTTGGCAGTTTGCGGGAAAGGATGTCCCCCAAAATAGGCGCCCACCAGTCGACCATACCACGGATACTCGTAGGCCGTGTCGGACGCCTGCGGAGGGAGACGTGACCCGTCGTGAGCTCTCCTGCTGTGTCTTTACGAGGTGCACCCGACCGAACACTCACCTCATGGATGCCCATGTAGCCACCGCCAGCTTCGATGTACCTCCTCATCGCACCCGCGCCCTGCGGTGTGAGAGCCTTTCCGCTGGTAGAGATAAAGACGAGAGCATCGTACTGGTTCAGCCAGTCCTCATCTTCCATCTGAGAAGGGTCGTCTAAGTGAAACGTGTCAAAGTCATTGTCCTTTCCCAACTTTTCAATCGCGTCTGCGGCGTCGTATCTGGAGGGATGCTGGAAACCTTGGGCGTATGTGTACAGCAGCACCTTTTGAGCTGCATCGGAAGAGCCTGCTACGGCGGGCGAGACTGAAGCGGCCAGCAAAGCAGCTGCTGCGCAAAGGACCAGGCATCGACGCTTCATCGTGTTGCGACTGAATGCGGAGCGAATCCAAATGTGGGGGTGTGATTCGATGATGCGTGCGCGTGACGAAAGAGTGTCCGTCGGGAATGCGTCTGCGCCAGCGTCTTTTGTGATGAGCTGAGGGGCCGGTAGGCGAAAGGCGAGCAGCAGCGAGAAAGCCAAATGAGTGTACTGTGGTGAGGAGTTCTGAGAGGCAGAGAATGCGATGGCGGTGTGGTGATGATGATGGCAAGCCGGAGCGACGTCTGAAGTTGGTGTTTCGAATCGATCGTTCCAGCGAGTCAAACAACACACAAAAAGAGGGCTGAGAAACAAAAAGTGGTCGAGGCGAGCTTTTCGGCAAGCGCAAGTTGGGCTCTGTGCCCGAGCGTCGAGAATGAGAAAGAGGACGATGGGGTGAGGGGATGGAGACGATGCGGAGTCTGTCAGGAGCGGTAAGGAGGTCAACGTTCGCAAAAGATGACCTTCCGCTGTTAGCTGCTGGTAACGGAAAGCGAAGCGATCCGCTCGCAGGGCTTACCCCCCCGCTCCGACCCAGCTACTCATCAGACTGTTTGCTTGCCAAAGGCACTCTCACGACTCGTGACCCAGCCAGAGAGCACACGCACCGCGAGCACACGCACCGCGAGCACACGCTCCACAGCGCCGCGCCTACTCTCGAGTTCACGCGGAGTGTCGTCGGATCAGCGAAAAAGACCTGATTGAAGCTGCAGCAGCAGGGCACGTAACAGAGGTGGGGCGGAGATTCGCAAACACTGGCGCGCTGCCTGAGATGAACAGTTACGAGTCCGTGTAGAAGCTGCTGGTCCAGATCTAGCGGAGTCCGTACTTCACCGCTTAAAGTGGTCTTCTGTGCGGCCCTCCATGCATCGAGCACGAGTCGGCCGCTGAGGAAAGGGGCGAAAATCAAGCCAGTGCCATATATGCATGCAGCAGCTAGGCTAGTGGGCGATCGAGGGGGGCGAGGAATTTGCCGCGTACCGCACGCGAGCGGGAAGAGCAAGAAGCGGCTGATGCATGGTTTGTTGATTGCGCGACCGGCAGCACGCTGTGCCACCGCCCAGAAGCTGGAGCTGGCGCCCAAAGCACGCGCAAGCATCAGCATCCATGCATGCATGCATGCAGCATCTTTCAGGTCCCGATCCATGACCCGCGCTCCGTCAATCGTCTTGCCAAAAAAACACGCGCACAGGCGCGGGTGCGAGCGCAAGGCGCACTCGCCCCCGCGACTCGAGCGAGGCGACTCATGAATTAAAATGCACGCGCGCAGGGAGGGAGCTTGGAGAAGCCGACGTGCCGGCCGGCCGGCCCATGCGGGCGAGTTGTACAGAATGAAAATGTGATTGACCGTCGTGCTCAGATCTGTAATGCGGCACCACGCGACTCGTGAATCAAGACACCCTCACATTCACGACTGCAGCTTTGGCCCGCCTCGACCACGCTAGAACGAAAACCACGACAATGGGAGCGCTCGGCAGCAGCTCATGCAAAGGTATGCCATGCAGCTATACTGTACAGTATAGCTGAACACAAGCAGCATCACATCACGTCCACGCGACCAAATCGAATTCGACATGGCCAAGCTTTTCGCGATGCCTTTGCGGCTTTCCACGAAGAAGGTCGTTGCAACATCTCAACTATCACGGAGACTCGCTGTGCAGGCACCACCTCCCACTGGGACGCATCACCAGCACCGCCTCACAGACGACAATCTTGAGTGAAAAAAAAAGTGTCCATTCCACCGCCGAGGCGAGACGAGAAGGCGGGGCTGATAAAAGAAACAGCGCGTCCATGTATGTAGGAGTGACGGCGGGCAAGGTGGATGATGTGAAAGTGACCATCTGTGGAGGGGCAAAAGGGCAAGGGATGCATTGGAGAGACGAGTTCGTCGCGCGGTATGCTGAACCGCTTCTCACGACCTGCTCAAGCAGATCCTGGTTGAGGCTTGCCGGCGCAGGTCCAGGTGCTGTCGCGCACACCGGGCGTGCCAACAACCTTGTAAGGATTGTACCTCAAATTGGTAGCCACCGTCTGAACGTTTTGGGGGACGTAGCCGTTTTGCTTCACAATGTTGATGGCCTTGGGCAGCAAGTTGTCGGGAGTGGTGGAAACGGTCTCGTGGTTGAGGACGATAGCGTGCTTGGGGGCCTTGATGCCGCGGTAGACATCCAGACTCTGGCTGACAGAGGCACCAGATGCGTCCTGAGTGTCAAAGTTCCAGTTGACCACCACCAGTCCCCAGCGGTTGTTCAGGTGGTCCACCACGCGCTGGTTGGCTTCACCGTAGGGAGGGCGCACGCAAGCAGGAACAACACCAAGAATCTTGTACAGGGCATCTTCGACGAACTGAATCTGACCGTCGATCTGATCATTGCTCAGCGAGTTCAGGTGGGGATGCGACCAAGTGTGCGAGCAAATCTCGTGACCCTGCGCGTAAGAGTACTTGAGAGCTTGCACCTGGGGCTCGTCGTAAATGCACCTGCGTGGCGGGATCGGCGGCGGGGGCGAGCAGCAAGTACGGAGCGCGTCAATGCGTGAGACGACGTACTACATTCCGCAAGCGCACACCGATACACCACTCACCTGTAGTTGTTGCCATTGACGAAAAACGTTCCCTTGTAGCCCTCGTTGTTCAGACGGTCGGCAACGGCCTGGTGCTTGGTGTAAGGTCCGTCGTCAAAGGTGAAGCTAAAGCAACGAGAAGCGGTGCAGCGCTCTTGAATGCCGTAGAGATTGCTGGGAGGAGCTCTAGCACCGAGGGCAGTGGTGTTGGTGAGACCGTACACTTCGTACTCAGAAGGGTCGCGGGCCATGAGATCCCTCTTGACGGCCTCGGAAAGTGGAGGAAAGGCGGTGCCAGGGGCAGCGATGACGCTAGACGCAACACCGAGAGCGATCGCAACGGCAACGAAGAGCTTGCTGAACATGATGAGGATGATTGAGGGGAGGAAGGATGTGGTTGGGTGGGACGAGTAGCCTTTATCAAAGATGAGGAAGAAATGCCGACCAGGGGAGGACAAAGCGCAGCGCCTTTTTAAAGAGCAAACCGAGTGAGTGACAGTGTGAGCGCGTGCGCTTGGACAGGGAAAACGAGTGTGAGGGGCTCGGGAGAGCGGAGCCGTATGGAGAGCGGAACGGGATGGGAAAGATGGCTTGAAGCTGTTGTGGGGTCGTGGTTGGGGACTACGGGCCGATTTGAGAGGCCATACGAAGGTCAACAAAGTGGGCGGTCTTTGCGGTCCTTGCGAATCCCTCTGTGGCTTGTACTCAGACTGCGTACAGTCAGTATCTCTGGCTGACTTGCATTGCTGCAGCGACGGAGACCCGCGGTAGCGAGGATCCCGTGCGCGCAGGAGCGCACGCTGTGTAGCCTCGCCTGCCAAGAATACACGACCGCTGGGCGCGGACGAGGCTGACATCAACGGCTCAGACATTCATGCACCCTTCATTTAACAAGTGAGACGCTACCACATTCAACTGTGCGTGCTGCCAATGACAACTATACACTACTACTGCTACTGCACCTGCGACACTTGCGGTGATCTTGAACGTGCGATTCGGTAGACTGCCCGCCGTTCGTGCGAGCGCACGTCGCTTCGACACGCGACTTTCTTTCCGTTGCCGGCGGTTAGACTGGCGACTGCAGCATGGGCCAACTCCGACAACAGAGATTGGTAGGCAAGTCCCGTCTGACATGGTGCGACTTGCGAGTAGCGCCCTTTCTCACGAAAAGGAAAGGATGGGATTGGATTGTTGACGAAGGCTCGAACATTGAGCGCAGGATGGGAAACTGCCTCGTACTTCATGCAAGGATGCAACAATCAACGTCAGGCCCCCAACTGCTCTGCTGCTGCTGCTGCAGGGTGCCTGAGATACAAGTGTACAGTCACACAGCCAGTCAGCTGCAGCTGAGCTGCACAGAATATCGCGAACTCTCATGCGCGCTCAGCGTCTTCGTACTGTACTCCACCACTCGTGACTCGAGCGCAGCTCAGAGCACCAAGGGCGGCCCAATCTCGACGCGTCGTACCTGCGCAACGCATTTCCAAGATCTTTCTGCTCCTATCCTGCAGAGCCCCAGAGCGTCTGCATGTGACGTGGGTCAAACCTCACCCTGCCGTTGATCTTGACGCGACATCCCAAAGGTAGGGATCGAGGGAGCGGAGCTGACGTGACCGACACGCTGAAAGGGCTCAATGCACAGCTCTGTAATTCCCGGCCTCGCGCATTCTGGATGTTGATAATCTTGAATCAATGCGCACATCGTGAACTGAATCGCCGCACACGCGCGGACCCAGGCAAGAGGAAGCCCCCCCCACAGCCCATGCACACCCCATTTTGCGCAGACGCGCCATCAGACTGCGCTCCTGTGTGAACTCATTCTGGTGCGGACTGCGGACCCATGTTCAAGCCGCCTTCTTGCGCGGCGGCTACACTTGACAAGGTTTGCAAGACGAGCAAGCTCCGAGAATGACCCGGGCAAAGCGATCCTCGCTTTGATCGCGCATTGCAGGTACGTGCGCGGCCAAGCTCGAGGCCAAGAACCTTTTGTGTCCGCAAGTGCGTCATTGCGACGTCGATGACGACCGCGCGCCTTGCTGTGAAGGTCGAACGAAGGAATGAACAGCATTCAAGATCGAGGGAGCGGATCCGTTCAGACCGTCTTTGCACAGCATGGCGATTTCCTCGCGATGGGAAGCGCATCGAGTGTTTCGGGTCACATCCGCCGACCCCCAATTTCGCGTCTTTGTCCATGATGTTGCACCTTTCGGGCGCGTTGATCCGGTGTCAGCCAAGCAAGTAAGAGCGTCGAAGCAGCTAGGCAAGCTTCCTGACCCCTTCCGTGGTGAAACCAAATCATTTCGCGTTCGAGCATAAGGCGAAGTCCTGCTGCCATTCGCTCAGGCCACTCTTTGACTCTAAGCAAATGTAAAGGAAGTCAAATACGAACCCTATCATCGGATCATTTAACCCCTGCTGACCGTATTGCCGCACGGCGGAATTGAAGGAAACAAGGTGAGCTGTTTGTTTGGCGCGCTTCTTGAACCGCAATTGCATGCCGGATCAACACTGTGACCTTTACCACGTGCCGAGCATGACGCTCTCGAATATTCCGGTCCAGCCCCCACGCCATCAGAACTTCATTCGCACGGACTCGTGATTCACGATTGCCGTGCCGAGATTTTGCGCTCCGCTCCCGGAAAATTCTCATCCTGGCTCAAAGGGCTCGCGGCCGCACTGCTGCTGCTGCTGCTGCTCCTGATTTGGGCGCAGAACGATCACGCGCAGCGCGCTTGTGGTTCGAGATATCATGCGTCGCAGGCCTCACGATCAAACTCAGGACAGTTTTGAGTGTGAGTCTGAGCGGCTTCGTCTCACTCGCCGCAAACAACAATCGTGAATCGTGAGTCGGAGTCAAGAGTCAGGGTCTCAGCCAGGTCCACCATCGTGAATACACATGCGGGTTGAAAGTCAAGCAAGGGCATGTTGTGATCTGAATGAGAGGCACATGCATCGCATCCCAGCGATCCTTGCCAGGTCTCGTGACGCAAGGCCGAGATCACCACCACAGCTTGCCGAGTGCGGTCACACTCCCTCCCGACCGACAGGTGCCGACGCGATCGAGTCAAGGGTCGGGTCGCGGCGGCTGATTTGTGACTTTCCCAGGCCCTCGCTTGCGCGCTCTGCAAATAGCGTCGCGCAAAATTTGGCCAAAATCTCCTCGGCCCGGCCTCCGATGACCGTAGCTACCCACCCCAGGCTGCGCACTGCTAGAGCTCGGCAACCGTGACTACTCAAGACTCAAGACTGTATGCCGGGGCACTGCGCTGGGTTTTCTTGGCGCCGTCACTCGGAGGTGCTGATGCAGCGAGCATCTCAAGGAATGCCGAGCGATATCCATCCTACAATGGACGCGAGAGCTCTGCGTTGGAGCCCTGCGGAGACGAGGTGTGGTCCTGCAGCCTCCACTTTCTCGATGGGTTGGCAAGCGAGGCGAGATCGTACAAGCGACTCACGACGGGAGCTTCGTTGAGAGAGTAGT